GGGCGGGGTTGTTGAGCGCCCAGGTGAGGAGAGCCAAGCGACGCTAGCATCTAGAAGATGCTTCTAGATGGTCCGTCAAGCTTTTGGTATTTCTAGATGCTTCCAGATGCCTCTAGACCTTCTTTGTGTAGTACTCGAACAAATCATGGCTGTCAATGATCTAGAAGCCGGCTTTTTATGTACCTCCGGTTAATCATGTCACGATGGCAATTTGCATGTTTTTGCTACGGAACGGTGCCGCCGAAATTGGGCTTGTCACATTGCAATGCGTAAACTGCTCTACAACGTTTGGTACAGGGCAAGTACGCTGAGGCGCAGCCCTTGTTCGAAAGGGCCCTAGCCATCAGAGAACGTGCTCTGGGGGTGGACCACCCGGACACGAACACGTCTCGTGCGTGGATGGCGGACTTGTACCAGAAGCAGGGTTTCCTGGACAAGGCTTCTACTCTGTTGGAGGAGGTTGTGAGCGCCCGTGAGCGTGTTCAAGGACGTGACCATCGGAAGTGCTCAACAACAGGGCGTGGTTGTTGAAGGCACAGGTGAGAGCCAAACGATGTTTCCAGATTCCCTTTTCTAGAAGGGAAACTAGAAAGGAATTTTTTTTCCCAGTTCTCGATCCGGCTTGTATTGAACAATGACCGTGCTTCATGGCAAGTACGACGAAGCCGAGTCTTAATGCAAGCGCTCGCTGGCTATCGATGAGAAAGTGTACGGTCCTGATCATCCGGAAGTCGCTACAGATCTCAACAACTGGGCGAGGCTTTCCTTTAACTGGGATTTGTTTTTCCAGTAAACCATTATCCCCGAAAACTTTTTCACAGTGTGTTCAGTAAGCATTTACTTTTTTAAGTCTATCTTCAGCTGCGAATAGTTCTAATTTAGTACACGTACTTCCAAAACAGCTTAATCAAAGTCTCCTTTAAAGCTTTCAAACTTGTTTTGGGGTTGTTGCGCGCCCAGGTGAGGAGAGCCAAGCGACGCTTACATCTAGAATGATGCTTCTAGATGCGCTCCGTTAAGCTTTAGATATATCTAGACGCTTCCAGATGCCTCCAGACCTTGTTCGTGTGGTTTTAGAACAAATCATGGCTCTCAATGATCTAGAAGCCGGCTTTTATGTCCCTCCGTTTGATCATGTCACGATGGCAGTTTTGCAAATTGTTGCTACGGAACGGTGTCGCCGAAATTGGGCCCTACCACGTTTTTTTACAGGGAAAGTTCGCTGAGGCGCAGCCATTGTTCGAAAGAGCTCTGGTTATCAATAAAGTTGCTCTGGGGGTGGACCACCCGAGCACGATCACGTCTCGTGCATTAATGGCGTACTTGTACTAAAAGCAGGGCTTCCTGGACAAGGCTTCTCTGTTGGAGGCGGTTGTGAGCGCCCGTGAGCGTGTTCAAGGATGTGACCATCCGGATGTCGCTTCAGCGCTCAACAACAGGCGCTGTTGTGGAAGAGTCAATTGAATTTACTCGTATTTCTTTCCGTTGAATGCCCGCAGGGCAAGCACAACGAGGCGCTCCCACTTCTGGAGAGGGTATTCTCTATCTTTCGGACGAAGCTCGGAGAGAATCACCATTACACGATCGGCACCCAGATCAGCCTGGTAAACACCCCGAGGAAGCGTGGTACTCCTGAAAATGCGCCGTTCCGTGTTGCAGGTGTAACGGGCCAAAGTGAAGGATCAGGTCGAAGACGCTCCCTGTCAAAGAGGTCACCGTTGACGCGACGAAAACAGTCGGGGCCAAGCCTCTAGGGCAGCGTGCGTCTTGTTGTCAAGGAGTGAGCATGGAACTGTTAACGTTCTCGTCGTTGGCGTTAGCGGTACAGGTTTTGTGTCCCCGGCGCTTGCGCTGCGTGAAATCTTCTGTCTGTTTCTGTACACGTAGTGACCCACCATCCTTTGCACATCAAACTTTCTTGTCTTGAAAGGCGTGGGCCGTGTGTCTCGTAGTCACGAGGTAACGTGGATGAAACACATAACACATGCAAGGCAGCGCACCAGTTGAATCCGATTGAAGTTTGGATGTGATCCAGAACCTTGTGTCCGGTGGCGGCAAAATATTCGTAGGTATAGCGTAGTGTCGTAGGCTAGCGTAGCGCAAGCGTGTATGATAAATAGTTCAGAGGGCATTGACCTTGCTTAGCGGTGGTGGTGCGTGACAACCCTGTGCTCCTTGTGGAACCTTGGCCCCGTTCGGTGGAGCGTTCCGGAAGTTCCGGGACCGTTCCACGTAACAACTGTAAGAACGAAGAGAGTCTACACGCGCATTTTTTTAGGTTACTCCAGGAATAACCTCGTCCGGGTCAAATTCTCATTCAAGAATATTTTGCACCAAAATCGCTGCCATGAAAGTTAACTTTTATTAGCGCCAGCACGTGTTTCACCTGGCATGGGTTTGTCACCAACATCACACCCCCGACACACTCGTCAACTCTCCTGACCATCTATCACTGCTCGTTGGTAGAGCACGCAGCAGGTTGCAACGTCTCCAGTTCACGTGGTGAGTCTCGCGGCCGTTTGAAACGCCTGTATGCGAACACAACATCAGGCAGCGGCGGCAGACGACGTACGATGCTCCAGTATGACTCCTGCGATCGATTGATTTCCTCCGCCTTGCGTGTCGCGCCACTTGCGCCCTCGACCCAAATAGCACGCTTCAATCTGTGTATATGAAGGTTATTCCCGTGCAACGTAGTGGAGTTCCTCAGATTGCTTTCGCGACAGTCTAGGGCAATGTGTTAAGGTGCTCGACGTACTCGAACCTGTGATCGTCGGCCGAACCTGTCAAACGAAGAAGCCACCGATGAAACAGTAGAGGGAGAACTCGCAGACGTTTTTCACCATTGGGCACGAACTGGATAGCTTTGGCTAAGAACACCGGTTGAATCGTATCGGTAGACTAGTTAATCAACATCCACCCGGAACTTCCAACCTTTCTCTTGCATTTTTTTTATCATGAATCATGATCTCGCGAAAAAATTCNTCGGTAGACTAGTTAATCAACATCCACCCGGAACTTCCAACCTTTCTCTTCCATTTTTTTTATCATGAATCATGATCTCTCGAAAAAATTCTTAAGTCACCACCTCATCTGTGGTATCGACACACCCTTGGGCTCCAGCTCAAACCTTCTTCATGTTTCCTTCATCAGACGGTTAAAAATAAACGTTCTTCGCCCCTGATCCCCTTTTGTGGCCTATGATCCGTGATCCGTGATTGTGTGTATTTTTTTCTTCTAGCCTGTAAACAACGTGCTGTTCGCTGTCCATCCGCTACGTCAATAATGCGGGGCAATTGCGGATGAAACTGTCAGTGGCAAACGTTCGGAGATTCATGATCCCGGGCGAGAGTGCGAGTTTTCGGATGAGCGGCATCGGCAATGACTTCACGCGTGGTGGACCATATATCAGGAATGCTCTAGCTTCACACTCTGTCGGTGGCTACTGCATTTGTGCTCATTGCTCCACGTCCTGCAGCATGGTGATGTGGTAGGAATCGCCATCAAGGTATACTGCTGAAGTCTACCTTCTAAATGNGCCCCTGATCCCCTTTTGTGGCCTATGATCCGTGATCCGTGATTGTGTGTGTTTTTTTTTCTTCTAGCCTGTAAACGTGCTGTCCGCTGTCCATCTGCTATTTCAAAAATGCGGGGCAATTGCGGATGAAACCGTCAGTGGCAAACGTTCGGAGATTCATGATCTCGGGCGAGAGTGCGAGTTTTCGGATGAGCGGCATCGGCAATGACTTCACACGTGGTGGACCATATATCAGGAATGCTCTAACTTCACACTCTGTCGGTGGCTACTGCCTTTGTGCTCACTGCTCCACGTCCTGCAGCAGCATGGTGATGTGGTAGGAATCGCCATCAAGGTATTCTGTAGTCTACCTTCTACATCTTGTAGCCGAAGTTGAAGGACAACGACCAACCACACATGGACCTCCTCCGAGGCTTAGCCAAGCGAGGGCCTTCGTCCCCTGGGTCGGTGACGGCGGCGGAGGGGGGCTCGCCAGTCGAGGAGTTTTCCCCGGAAGAAAGGCTGCTCCAGCTCAACCAGGAGAGTGTTAGCGAAAACATGTCTTCGTCATGGAGTTATGGACTGCAGTACTATCAGTAGACTNGCTTAGCCAAGCGAGGGCCTTCGTCCCCTGGGTCGGTGACGGCGGCGGAGGGGGGCTCGCCAGTCGAGGAGTTTTCCCCGGAAGAAAGGCTGCTCCAGCTCAACCAGGAGAGTGTTAGCGAAAACATGTCTTCGTCATGGAGTCATGGACTGCAGTACCATCAGTAGACTTGTTTGTGCGATTTGTTGAGCGAAACAGCTCCACGAGCGCAAATGATCTTTTACTGCTGTAGCATACGTAAAACATGGATGGGAGCACCTTGGAGACATGAATTATTCACGAGATAGGCAGATCCTGCCCTGCCGCGCTAGCACCGGTTGTTGCCGCCGGAAAAAACGATCTGTATCCTCCTCACCGATCGCACCGTGATCGTGCATGTTTANTTGTAGCCGAAGTTGAAGGACAACGACCAACCACACATGGACCTCCTCCGAGGCTTAGCCAAGCGAGGGCCTTCGTCCCCTGGGTCGGTGACGGCGGCGGAGGGGGGCTCGCCAGTCGAGGAGTTTTCCCCGGAAGAAAGGCTGCTCCAGCTCAACCAGGAGAGTGTTAGCGAAAACATGTCTTCGTCATGGAGTTATGGACTGCAGTACTATCAGTAGACTTGTTTGTGCGATTTGTTGAGCGAAACAGCTCCACGAGCGCAAATGATCTCTTACTGCTGTAGCATACGTAAAGCATGGATGGGAGCACCTTGGAGACATGAATTATTCACGAGATGGGCAGATCCTGCCCTGCCGCGCTAGCACCGGTTGTTGCCGCTGGAAAAAACGATCTGTATCCTCCTCACCGATCGCACCGTGATTGTGCATGTTTACGTATCACAGGACATATTCTTGGAAGAAGACCGTCACCAACAGGCTATGATAGCGCTTGAGAGCTCTGTTCTCGGTTGCGGCAGCGATGACTGGTCGGTGGACAGCGACTACGCCTTCCAAGACTTCGCCGACGACGTCAAACATCACCAACAACAACAGGCACGGCACGAAAAGAGCGAACAAAATCTTTTGCAGTCTTCATCACCGACTCGCGAGCGAAGCGCTGTGCCAAATCCAGGAACACCGAGCAACACGCGTGTCGTGGGCAGCCTGGACGACAAGTCAGGTGCCGAAACAAAAAAACTTAACGAGCACCCGGAGGCAGCAGAAGGAGCTCGGACAGACACGTTGACAGCAGGAGGAGCGCAGGCTGCTGGAGGCGGAGGGGGGGTAGTACCTGACGAGGGGCAGATGGGCGGAAGCAGAAGAGGTTCAGCCTCGGAATCCGGCAAGGATAATCGGCACCACCCAATTCTGTCTAATACCAGGCTTTTCGGGGATCCTGGTAGCAGTTCTGACAGCACGCACATTCTGAGGCTCGAGCAACGCATGTTTCTCAAGGTGGGTTTACTTGATGGGTGCCGTCATGTTCAGGAACATTCCGCGCAACAATATGGGGGCGTCTCTTACAGTGCATGAAACTTGCGAATGTGTTCGTGATCGTTGGAAACTCAAAAAAGTTCTTTGGTGGCGCCGAGGAGACTGTCTATTACACCTCTGCATCGATTGACATTTTCAAGGGACCGCGTGGTGTGGAGAAAGACCGGTCCAAACGATACCCATCGGTTGTTGTACTCCCTAGGAAAGTCGTCAACAGGTGCGCTTGGTATTGACAATGCAGACAAATCTGTAAGAAGAGCATTGCACACCGATACCAAGCAACTACGCATATGTGTAAGTCACACCCGCAGCGATTTCGTGCGTGAGGCCCTTCCTGAGCCTAGCGACAGAAAACACACCGCCGCCGAACCATACCGCGTGCACCCGAATATAGGCCGCGTTTCAGTTGCTGGAGGAACGAGATCGCCTCTTTCCGGCGTCGATCGGCTCGTGGGGCACCGCCGCCGGGGGGTGGGTACCTCCAAGCGGTGGCGGCGGTGGCGGCGGGGGCAGCAACCTTCGCGACCAGCGAGGCGGGTACGTTAACGGCGCGGCCGTTTCCGCCGGAAAGGCTGGCGAGGGCCCTCGCTTCCATTTCCAGCAGCACGAGCCAACTTTCTACGCGAACAGGCCGAGGATTCTCAAGTCAGGGACCCTGCGGAAGGCCACGGCGAGGAGCGTTGGGCGCCTCGAGAAAACCACGTGGAAAACCAAGTACGTCGAGCTCACACCCGGGAGCTTCGCGTACTCAGACAACGGACCCATCGTGATAGGGAAAAGGTGAGTGGTTTCGTGCGTCAAAGGCCACATGCAGGACCTGAGCCAAGATTCACAAACAAAGGTTAGCCAAAGATAAGTTGGCATCACGTCCATTATTCTCAGTGACGTAAGCATCTGGCACAATGTAGACACTGCAACTGGACTGACAGATTCCGCCGCATCCGACAGAGTGTTGTCTACATGTTTTTCGGGAACCGGAAAAGGGCTGAAACTTGGCAGTTTCGTGGATGGCACGAGTACGCAACAACCCCGTACCCTAACCAAAGTACGGGAAATGATGTTACCCTCGTCTTCGTTCAAAAGTGGGAAAGAAACGCGGCCCTGCTGGAAACGAGGTGTGTATACGATCACAGGTTGAAACGGTAACCCTTCCCCCTAACAAAGAGAACGTTACTCCCCTTTCCTTCTCCCTTCCTTTGACAGCCGAAGCGCAAAGGTTCTCCCGCTCCACCAAGGGTTCTGCACCTGCCGGTCTGTCAAAACAAAGCACCGCGTTACGAGGAGCAAAAATAGTTTAGTTCTTGCCAACCTCCCGAAATCCTCACAGTACCACCATGCGAGGGCCGGGATGAGTTATGGTGGGGCTGGGAGGATAGAGGGGGGCGGGTTTGGTGGGGGGATGGGGGGGGGGTCGACTAGCAAGCACCTGCTGGAGATTGAAGTGGTGGGCTCGAAACGGAGAGTGTGGGCGGCGGAGAGCAAGCAGGAGTGCCGTCGATGGGTAAGCAAAATCTAGGCCGAGAATTGCGGCTTGAGTAGTCCAGCAATAGTAACCTGCGTGCAGGCGTAGATGTGGTGTTGTTGCTCAAAGACATCAATCGGTGAACTTGGACATCTTTCGCCCTTTACGTTATAATCTTTCCCGCAGCAAATGACTTCTAGAAACACTGTTCGTGAGGTAGGTAGCAGCACGTGTTCGTTGAAGCTCGGCGAAACATCGTGCCTGGATGTGCTACGATGAACACAAGTCTCAAGAGATATTACAGCAAAGAAGCCAAAAACGTTTGTGCCGTCACCGATTTACGGGGCCGCCTCCACTTCCGTGTCGCCACGAGGCATGCATGCGACGCTTGCTTAATTGGTGATTATCGTGCAGGCAAAGCATCGAAGGGCTTTCCCCAGATGGTATCAGCAGAGTGGAACACCTTGCAAAGTCGCGTGAGCGCTACGTTTCTGTTAATAAGAAACAACACGGAACAGCAAAAAATCCAACATCGGGGGCTGCAATGAATGCAAATCAGGACAAGAGCTCTCAACCACACAGATACGCGTGACTCGGAACCGGCGGTGCCTTGCTCCCGAGGGGAGAGATACGAAGGCTGAAAACATAAAGTTTCGTGGAATGGGCTGCGTTATTTCAGCACCAACCCAAATTTGTCGAGCCAGAAGCCCAAGGAGGAAAAATGCATGCTCCAAAACACTAAACAGTGGTCATGCTTCGTTAAGGCCAGTGCTCACTCGGTCGACCATGTGTACTTTGAATTTGACGTTTCAACCTATCCATGCCTTTCCTGCTTGCGCGCTCGATATCCGATCGACTCCCTGTCGGCTGCTGCAGTGACCCACCCGCAAACTTTCTCGTTGTGTCGAAAGTTGTTCCAGTTCAACTGTTTAGGTTAACCCTGCGTGCTCGTGTGTTCGGTGAACGTTCTGGGCATGCTTCGTCCCTGACGGGAGGGTAGGTGAGCGCGATCAAGGCAGCGATGACGGAAAGGCCGGTCAACCCAGACGAGACAGTCTTGGGGGAGGACCAGCTGCCGATCATTCCCCACGATTCGTGCCACAGACATCACATGGAAAGGTTTGACGTTCTGAATAAGTAGGCGCGCTTCTCGCCATGCATCCACCCCCGGCACCATTGTATCTAGCAAGCTCTTCACACTCCTCGACCAGCTCTATCTTCGTGATCGACAAGCAAAACGCTCGGAAGCGGTTGATGATGTCTTTTTTGGAACGCTGGTGGACGAACACTTGACGGCTGCTGCCTCTACTTCATGCTCGTTGCCATGGACTACCTGGCTGGCCAAATCCCCATAGACATGAGCCGCTCTCCCTTGAAAGGAGTGCGACAGCCTATGGCAACATACCACGGTCATGAACGACAACGAGCACACCCTCCCTTGCTCCTTCTTTCCCACCCTCACCACCGCTGCCTTCGCAGCTACCTTTCCGCACGGGGATTTCTTCGAAACGCTACATCCACCGAGGACTATCTTTCGGCCCTCAAGGGGTTGATGGCTGAAGTAGGGAGAGGGACAGGAGGCGGTTTGCAAGAGGGGGGCGAGAAGGACAGCTCAATGGGGGTCCCGGTGAAGTGGGTGAAGCAGCAGCTACCGGGATCGGAAAGGGTCTACCAGGTGGGAATGAGCCGGGAACTAAATTCAAGAGGTGTTTGGTCCCTCATCCCCTCACAGATGGAGAGCACTGTTTCTACCCATCAGACAGGCAACTTCAACATATGGGTACTCAACCAGCTTCGACACTACGATGCATCTGTCTTTGTAACCCTTCTTTCCCACCTTTTGTGGAAACCACCTATCCAGTACGATGGCGATTGGGGGTTTCTCGCTACCTACCTCTATCTCGAAGACACCCCTTTTCCTTACCGGAATCTCCCACCCATGTCAGCGTACTCTCCTACGCCGTGTGTGTCAATTTGAACCTTGCATGCACTACTTACTGTGTGCAAAATTCTTGTGGAAACATTCGGCGTAGGCCACAGTAAGCGATATGGTAGCATGTCCGTCTTCAAATGTTCCAAATCTTCTAGCGAAACGGCCCAAGCGTTCGGCCACAAACATGGCCCTAACACCTGTATCTGTACTATATTATGATAGTTTACGCCGTACGTGAAATTGAAAAACACTCCGTGAAGGCACCCATGTGCCGTATGTTGCCAATCCTGATTTTAAAGTTGTCAACCTATCTTACGACCAAAAGTAAAGCAACAAATATGACGTTATCGACTTTCCAAAGGCAAGGAACGTGTGTGCTAACACAGTTTCAATATCGCCACTTTCATTTGGGCGACGAGCACCATTCAATAGATATGGAAGACGAAGTGCCTGATAGGGCCCGTCCTATTGCGTCTGCGTTGGTGCCGTAAAACACAACAACACTGCTTCTCAATTCGTAGGCATCAGGGCGGGGGCGTGGTAAGTCGGAGCTGGCGCAGTTGTGGAAGGACATGAAGCGAGACACGGTGTCGATTAGCGGGAGGGTGATGACGGGGGAGCGAGGGCCAGAGGGCATCATAGGAGCTTTGACGCGGTGCATTCTCGCTCAGGTGAGATGAATAGCAACAGCAGCTTTTGGGGGGCGCGACAAAAGCCACGAGGCCATGTCCGTGGTGTCCTTGTCGCCATTGGTTCAAAAACAACCATAACCCGTTGAAAGCACGGCTACTCGTTGAGTGACGAAAACCATTAGTTGACAATATGTAGGACAAGGAGCACATTGAAGTCTGTTGGGACATCAAAAAAGTACTCGGACGTGAGAGAGTGATAGAATCTCGTGAGAAACATGGGGAACTGAAGTTGTTCCGAAAGAGTTTGCTCCAACGACAACGGGGCATTCAAGCAACGACAAAGAAGCATGTCGTTGATTTCTTGCATCTGGCCAAGCAGGATGGCTAGATGGTGGTTTCAGTATCTATCCTATTCGCGTACGTTTCAAACGAAATAGTACAGTATTATCCCAATTGGTTTCTGGCTGTGACTGTTGTCCTTCCGTGAAAGATTCAGGATGTTCAACTGCTTGCACCATGCTGTACGCCGTAGCTCGCATGCGAGTTGGTGAGAGCTAGCAACCGCCGACCCGAGGCCACAGCCACGGCTGACCTGACTGAGCATTGGTTGATTTGGAGCGTGGCCTATTTTCCTGGCACAGCAGCATAGCTTGCTTGTATCATCAGCCGGGAGTGAGTGTTGCAGCTAAAATATGAGTAGGGAAACGCTTTATTTAGCACACACTTGTGCTCGGTCAAGCGCCACTTCGTCACATCGGTTCAATCTCAAGAAGTTTTGTCATGCGGGCTTCTTGCCAACAGGAAGTCGAAGCCGACCTCAACGTGAAGTCAGTTAGTACCACTGAAAAACGACTTTCGAGAGGAGTGTATTGAAGAGCGACTCTCGAGAGTGTATGTAGAAATGACCTGAAATCCATGCCATCTGCACATGTGGCCAATGTGTTCTCTCTTTGACGCCTGCGGCAGGCTGGGAGGCTATCCGCTTCGGACTCTTTGTCCAAGCTGTCGGAAGCTCAGAGTTTATTGGCCGCGCGCGATGTGCTCCTCGCCTGCGATCGGACTACTTCCGGTGGAGACACTTACCTCGTGGTAAGTTAATCAGAGTGGCGTCCGCAGAAAAGCCGTTTTTCGAGCCCTCTACGGGCTTTAATGATCTAGGAGCGTTAGCTTCGATCACTTCCAATCACGTCTCTCTGTTTTCGGCCGGAGAAATCTCCGTTCACGTTTTCGAGACCTAGAAGCATACATGCGTCAATATTCATGTACGGTGTGTTGACGTGTGGATCTATATTAACGCGCTTGTTGGTGACGGGGGAGCGTCAGCAGCCAGAGCCCGAGGTGCTGTGGCTAATAGGCGAGCTTTTTCATCCTCTTGAATACAACCTCGACTGCTACCTCGATCGCTGCCCTGGTCGGAGTTCACCGTGTACAGCACGTATAATTTTATCCGGTGGAATTCCGAGGCTGGGGGAAGCTTTTCGAATCTCGGGAGAGGCTTTGCGAATCTGGCGTGCCTGCAACACGTTTCTGTGCAAACACCGTTGCAACCACTTCGCAACGTCCCGTGTTCTTCCTCTCGCTGCGGTAAACCTACCGATGCAATCCAGGTGGACAATCTGTGCCGAAACCCCCCGCTAGTGGTGCTGGTGCCCGCTTCGCAAGAGGCGGAGCCGGTTGATATAACGGTAACCCTCCATCCGCGCGCGGCACAAGTGCAAACTCAAGGGCATAAGCAGAACCCATCGCGACATTATCGCCATACGATCGACGGTGGGACGAAGGGCTCCCAGGCGAACTGCCCACCATCTCCCGGGGAGCTGCCCGAGCCACCCTCCCCTTCGTCTCTCGGTAGCGTTTCCGCGGCGGCGAGCCCTTCCTTCGAGCATCGGAGCAGCGGTTGATATGTATGTAACATGCCATGGGACGGGGCCGAAAATTATATTTCTCCGACACGGGTTCCGCTGACCTTTCCGCATGACAGCAATATTCAGCTTGAATTCGCAACAACGCCGACACCCATCCGTGTCGCCATGATCCTTTGTACAACCGATAAACAAAATACCCATAATCACACAGAGAGGTAGGTTCAGGTGTGCTTACAAGGGAGATCCGTTCTCAAAAAGAAAATAATACTCAAGCAAGCCTGCTGGAGACATTCGGTCTTCCGTTCGCACTTCCTATCAATAGGATGTTATTGCCACAACCAAAGCGCTCGCAGCAGGTAGTCCAACTGATGAACAACCACCCCGACCGAATCGTACAGGTAACCAACGTTGGGACACCATAGGACGGATCAGTTTTCGTTTCGAAGCATAAATAATGTTTTCCGTGCTCAGCGGGTTGGCGCGGTCAGTGGCATCAGCCGAAACACGCTACAACTGCTGGTTCACTGCTGGGTGACAGCCACGGCATCATCGCCCGTTCCCGGCCCCCCACCCCCAAGAAACAAGCCAACAGAAGGTAGCACATCATCAATAATATACTTGACAGCATGCATACCGAATTCCCGACCAAAAATATCCCCCCGCCCGAGCATCCCGCTT